CCCAGTGTGCCCAGTGTGCCCAGTGTGCCCATTGTGTTCAGTGTGCCAGTGTGCCAGTGTGCCAGTGTGCCAGTGTGCCAAAAGTCAGTGTGCCAAAAAGTCAGTGTGCCCAGTGTGCCCGGTGTGCCCAGTGTGCCAAAAAGTCAGTCCCAAATTATAGAGAATAAATATTACAATTGTTATCATACTGTAATTTATTCTGAAAATCAGTTTAAATATATGATTTTAAATAAAAAAATTATTTTATTGGATTTTCTTATTTATATACTCATATACTTTATATTAATAATGATAATTATTATTTAAGACATATTTCTGATTTAATAAAATTATGAATTAATGTTAGCCTACCAAGTATATTTCGGATATTTGATTGACCTTTTTGATTAAACACTTAACAAACCAAACATTTAAATATATAAATAATTACTAAATTATAAATCATTTGTAAAATGAAACACAATTTCAAAGACTACTTACATTTATCGGTGTCTTTGTATTTATGGCTAACTTTCCTTTCTTTCACGATTTGATTCGTGAGTTCATCGAAATAGTTGAAAGCATTTATGTCAAAGGGCTCCAACTTTAACCGTTTGGCTAACCCGGGTGCTGACACCGACAATAGCAAACTGATACCGGCGTCGACACCCAGTATTTTTTTAGCGTTTGTCACCACCGGGTGGTTGGGGTTGTCGATGGACTCGACGTTTATACCATAAGCACAGGCGCTGATCACATCCATGGCGAAGGCACCGATATATTGGCGCATATCTACCGTTTCACCTGGGTCACACATAAAAATAATATTATTATTATATTACGACTTTGTAAAGGGTACAATTTGTAACTCTTAAATTATTGTATTAGGTATTTTATGATAATTTGATGATAAATTAAGTAGGTAATATTTATTATATTGTTATTTGATTGAATTAAAATAAACTGAAAAATTAACAAACTGTACACTACGTTCAAATAGATGCTAAATAAATATGAATATGTTATGAAAAACATGACATGTTATGGCTGGTAGCCAAGGAGTGGCGTAAATATAAGAAAATTATTTTTAATTATTGAAACCAAAACTAACAAAAATATGTTTAAAAACATATTGAGTATTATATTATGAAAATTAAGTATGTAATATTGAATATAATATTCATTATTTAATTGAAATGCAGTATTAGAAATATTGCTAGTTTATACTAAAGTTAATTATTTAAGAAATTTACAAACTGTACATTAATTTTAAATATATGTTTAATACATATAAGTAAATCGTTAAGAGTTTCAATCATTAAAACATAAACTAATATTAATATTAATATTTTTGAAAACATTTTACTAGTCATTGATAATAAAATAAATGCAACAAAGTTATTAAATTTTGGTTGTATATAATAATACTGGACACTACTGCTTCCAATAAGAGTGTCATACCTTGATTATGTTCTTTAGACTCAAATTCAAAAATTATTAATATAATATAATTTATAATAAAAATTAATAATTTTCTAAAACATACCCTTTTTCTCGTATACACGCAAACTAGTAACCAAACCGTCGGATATACCCTCGATGTGGGCCATCATTGCCCGCAGTTTACCCGACGTGAACACCGGCGACAGTAACGATCGGATCCTTTTCCAATCGTCGCCCCCGGGCTGGAAAAATATGTATTTCCCAATCTTGGACGAACCTAGGTGAAAATGCCTGCGATCCGGGACCAAATGAAAGTCCTTGACCATGATGTCCCGGAGCAAATCGGGGTCGTTCACCACCAGCGACTTACCCGTCACTGAGTACGTGCCGTAAACCCTACCGTATTTTTGGGCCGATTTTAGGGTGTAGTAGTGGTGAATGCTAGTAAAATCTTTGAATTCAATGAACTTTGGCCCTGGTACACCTCG